TTGTTAGTTTTTGACTTATGTGCTGACACATATGCATTTCAGGACGACACGTATTGTTTGATTGGGTCAATTTTTCAATTCTTTTTAATTACAAAAATCACCCATTTGCATCTAAACTTCCACAACTATAAATACATCATTCATACATCATTTCAACTTGATGAAACTATAAACACTTACTACATTTTCTATTCACCTTCAACCTCCAACTTATGCATACACACTAATAAATCACACATAATCATCTTTTGTCGGGGTGCCATCTAGGCGAGGTTTGATAACGTCCAATTAGGTTCTTGTGTAGCCAAGAATATTGGGTTGAGATTTTTAGGGGGTTTCATTCGAAAAACCCTAGGGTTTTTCCTCCAAGATCTTGGGTAGATTTGGGGGTTTTGTTCAAGACTTTCAAAATAGGATTGTGGCCAAGTGAAAAGCCTTCGGAGTTTGGTACCCAAGGAAGTAGTGAGATAACGGGGAATCAAATTGAAAGGCTGTGTGTTAAATAGGTACAATTAATTGTGCGTGAAAGAGATTTAGAGTTTCGTACCCAAAGGAGTAGAAAGATTAGATAAATCAATTGGTAGCTATTGTGTCTTGGTCTTTCTTAAGATAAAAATAAGAGAAGGAGTTGAATCAACATCAAACGGTTTTGTTTGTAGGGTTGCTCTTGGAACACTTCTCTTGTAATCACTTTTTTGCATAGTAAGAAATTATCCTAATTCTAAATTTGGAAGTGTGGGAGACGTACCCATAGCAATGAAAATTGGAGAGCTTCCTAAATAAATCCTCGTGTCGCTCTCTCTTATCTTTTTACTTTCTTTATTTTTCATTAAGTAATTTGTCAAATATCATTGATTAAATGATCGACTCGTAAGAATTTTTCTGTGGATGTTTTTGTTTTGAATTGGTTGTTGATTAGCTTATAATCCCTTTTGATTATAAGTGATTTTTCATATCAACACAACTCAAAATAATTTTTTAAAAATTTGGTCGCACACCAAGTGTTTGACAAATTACATAGTTCGTTATTTTTACTGGTTATCATTGGAAATAGTATTGCTAGTAACTTGCTATAAACAAATAATATTGTGTTACTTTATTCAAGTTTATAAATTATATTTATTGTGTTGTTCATTCCATAAGGCAAATTTTGCATATCTGAGTTCCAATAACTAGGTTCCTATATACGACATTTTTTATCTATATCAAAATCCTTCCGCTTGCACTCATTTCAATTATATTTTAAAAACCAAATTTTATTTGGAATTTTGGCTTGGTGATCTATTCACCCCCCCTCCCTATAGATAAGGCACCATCGTCTAACACATATCCTCTTAAACACTCTAATCTTTGTAAATTAGGACAAACTAAGTTTCTATGTGCTCTATTATTTGTCAGTTAGTACAAATAGAGTAATTAGTTAACTGAGATGAACTTAATTCTTACTCATTCGATTGATCTTTATTAATTAGTAAAACAAAGAACATTTTGGTAACATTAATAATTGGTCAATTTCTCACTAGAAGATAAAATCTCTTTTAAGATATTTTCTTTTCTCTCTATCTTACCAACCACTCCATCATTTTGCTAGTAAAAGGAAAAAAAAAAGAGAAAGATAAGAGAAGAAAATAAAATAGGAGATAAATATAAGAGAAGAAAAATAAAATAGGAGAGAAAGAGAAGAGAAAGAAGAGGAAAAAGAGGAAAAGCTTGGAGAATAGGAAAAATCTAGGATCAAGAAGTTAAAATCAACTCAATTTCATCATCAATCTTCTTCTTAGATGTGGTTATATGTAGCTTAGCTTTTGGGGGGAAAACTTTCATGGAATTGAAAATTAGGGTTGGTATGTTTTGCTATGATCATGAAAATTGATGTTGATACATGTTCTACTCATTGTTTTGTATGATTCATAGTGTTAGTCCATGATATTCGGTGTTGATGATGCAATATGATGCTATGTGGTGATGTATTATTGCTTATGTCCCTTCCTATTTTGATTCGCATTGGTATTATTATGATATCCTCACCAGGCGATGGGACTGCTCGCTAAGCGAGAGTCTCTGTTTTTCCTACAAAGCAGTTATGCTAAACTCACTAAGCGAGAGATGTACTCGCTAAGCGAGAGTTCGCTGGAAGCTTGTGTTAGAACTCGCTAAGAGAAATAGGGAAATTTTTAGGATTGAGCCCACTGCCTCGTCTCACTTGGAGCTCGCCTTGAGCTCGCTAAGCGAGAGTTCTGGTAGTTTGAAAAAAAAGTTATGTTCTTGTTTCCATTATAAAATAGGAATTTTAACTCCGATTGATGTGAACGTGTTACAGTATCGTAAAGAGAAACCATAATTACAGACCAAGTAATACTTAGTGAATGATGATGAATTAACATATGTGTATTATTAAACATACTATGGATTGTTTACTTGTGTTGAACGTATATTAAATTATTAAAATCCTACGATAAATGAGGTTAAACCTAGGGTTTGTAACTAGCTGAATGAATTTGTAAATAATTTAAGTTGTGATATTCGGACTTGAAGGTACCTCGGTGTGTACCACGGATGAGTAGTCACTTGAAAGGAATCATTTCATCTACATGAATACCAAATGACAAGGATGGTGAAATATGGTTAATTGTGAATTATTGGGCTTTGTATGGAACATGAGATTATGTTATGAGATTGGTGAATGTAATCACCTAGTGGTTGGTGAGTACAATAATGTTATGAATGATGAGACAATAATTCGTACTCGTTCTCGTCCCAATCGTGATACTTATGTAAAGTAGAATTGGGATATATATATATATATATATATATATATATATATATATATATATATATATATATATATATATATATATATGCACTATTGATTCACATCCTCATAAGTGGGTTAGGGTCCCATAGAGAGAAGATGTCTCATAAGTTGGTTAGAGTCCCATAGAGAAGTGGACCATAAAGTGAGTTAGAGTCTCATATGAGGAAAGATACTCAATGTGGGTTACAGTCTCATATGAGTGACGATTCTTAAAGTGGTTTTGAGTCCCATGGAGAATCCGAATTCATAAGAAAGTCGAATCATGATGCAAACATCTGTGACCCGTGTCCATGGCCTAGACGTAAGATCGGTTGAAGAAAGATGCTTTAATGTGTTTCCGAATAGTGAATTATTTATTTATGTGAACTCAAGTTACATGTTTTCCATACGATGTGAAAAATCCCTTAGATACGTAAGTCTTTCTCGATTGTTTAAGAGTACACATGTATTGAATGTTGAGAAGCTTAAGTTGAGGAATCAATTATAGACCCTGTAGAGCCGAGTTGACCCATAAGATAGGGAATCCATTGAGATTATCATCTCATCCCACTATTATTGTTGTTTTTTCAGGTAGTTCTAGGCAGGTGAAAGACAATGGAAAGCTTGTCTTGTGAGGTTTCAAAGACTTTTGTTATCGTGATCTTCTGCCATGGAATATGTGGATATTGTACATAGATCTTAGTTTTTGATTAGGAAATCTTGTATATCATATGTCATGGTTGTATATTATTATTTTTGACATGTATATATAGCAATGTCGATAAACTATTATGGATGTATCAGTACCATTTTACGCTATATATAATGTATTTATAGATTATATTATATATGGGTGTTACAATTGGTATCCTAGCAGGTCAATTCTCGACCCAACCATGAAACATCATAAGTATATCAATTCATTCCTCATATATGTGTATTTTCGACATGATACTTAATGTCACGACATATAGTATTGGGTATGATCAACCTAATTCGATGTGTGTGTTAGGTAGGATCATGGTTGAGCCGTCACAAGGACTTTGAAGGTCTAGTAGTGTTTGTGCGAAGTGTGTAGGACTAAACCCAAAATTTTGGAAGTAAGGAGGACTGAGGGTTTTGGTTGATGCACCAATGGTAGTAGCACGAATTTGAGATTCAAGCGAGACGGCAAGTGCGGGGTGGTGCACAGTTCAAGTCATCCGATAATAAAAGAGAAGTAAAAAATTTAAGAGTTTTTACCAGATAAATTCACCTAAAATTTGAGAAATATGTGACTCTGTTAATAACGCAAAATTGTCCATTAGCATGGAACAAGTCTTACAAATAATTCATGTAGTGAGAAGAAAATAGTTTTGTCGCTAATATATTATAATCTCATAAGTGAAATCGCGTACCAATGTCTCAATTTGTACGCACACCCTAACACCCATGGCGAATGGACATAAGTATGTCCGTAATAGTATCCATCGCATTGTTTACTTTTATTTTTTGAACTATTAAATAATTATCATTTTTTCAATTATCAAACTATTAAATAATAATACTTTTTTTATTTTTTTCTACTTTTTTGTATTCTTCTTTATCAAACAATTAAAATATAAACGAGATAGAAAATAAATTGCCAGTTTATTTTTCTATGAATTAAAAAATGTTTTTATTAGTTTCATTGATTAATTATTTTTAAATTATTGATTTTTAAATATCAACAATTTATTATTGATATATAAATATAAATAAATACATAAATTTATTTTGCATTTGTCTCAAAAACAATAATTGGTTTATAACTAATTAAGCATCAATTTAAGATACGACATAAAACTTATTTTATTATCTCTTTTATCATGCACACCAATTTAAGTCTTAAGAATATATATACTATTTGATTATAACAAGAGTGATTCCAAATTAATTATAAATACTATTTTCTAATAAAAAGCACATTATACTATTATTTGTTTTGGAGGAGAAGGTTTGAAAAAATTGAAAAACAAATATCAAGTTATGTAATTTAATTATTTTTTACTATCAAAATCATGTAGATAAAAGAAATAACAATAAGATAAGATAGTAAATCCACCAGCTATTGGCCTATAGCAATTCAATACAACAACGCAGTCTTTTCCATTGTATATCTTGATAGGCAAATTTTTAACACTGCAATTTCATAAATACTGAAAATTACAAGGCATTAGATAAGAGATTAATTAGCATTGACTGCAATTTTCTGTCCTCGGTTACAATGACCAGGAACAGCACATATATAATAGTTGGCTCCTTTAGCAAGTGTAATTCTATCTGATCCAGATACATGCAACTCAGATCCTCCAAGAGCCACACATGAATTATAGCCAAACTCGTTCACTTTCACCACATTGTGTATCAAAGGGATGTAATTGAATACTGCATGTAAATGTAAACACCAGTTAAAATTTAAACTATGTCTTAGATAGTAGTAATAATTCATTACAGAACCAACCATTGATTATTTTGATAACTGCATCCGTGACGAACTAAAAATTAAGATGCTTACCAAGTATGTCACCTCCATTGAAACTTTTTCCTGAAGGCCAGTTTTGAACACCAAAAGTCCAGCCTTGGCCATCACCAACAATGTATGTTTCTGCATGAATCATATTAGGATGAAACAGAAACATACATAATAGTAGAATTGTAGTAACACTTGAGCTGCTTGCGCTGCCTCTTCCCTTACCCATCTTTTAATGTAATTTTGAGTGCTTACAAGAGAAACTTGAGAGGTGGTTTTATAGCATAAATATGACATTAACGACTATGTGGGCTAGTTTTGAGTAGGTCAGTTGTTTTATTTCTTTCTAGGTGTTGGAAAGTGTGGTTCTTACTTACTGCACTGTACTAGTACTTTCTACTATGTGACTAGTACTAGTAGTGTTTTTTATTTTCTTTTTTCTTTACCTTTGCGTGTACTGTTGTGTGATTCTGCATGGGTGTGTAGGCGTGTAGATGTGTTTTTTATTCAGTTATGGTTGGTATCTCCTACTGCTATAGACTTTGGATTTCGTTTTTTCTTTTAATAACTCCATTCATAACTGAATAAAAAACACAGCTACAACCCTACACACCCATAAAAATATTAAATAATTAAAAGTTATTCTTTTATGAATTAAACTAAATTATTAAATATGACACTTTATTTTTATTTTGAGTTGAATAATATTAATATAGTTATAACTTATAATTATTTATCAAATTTTAATTCATGTTTGGAATATCAAATATATTGTAATTTATTTTGCAATATTTACTTAGTTTTATTTATATATCAATAATATATATCAACTTTTAAGCATTGATTTGTATTTATAATAAATCGTACAACTATTTTTATAACTTCAATTATATAAAATAACAATAAAATAAAAAGTTTAAAGATATGCATTAAAATGATCAATCAATAGTCGGTATATTAGAGATACATTCGCATCTACCCGTGAATCCAGATGAGTTAACAAACCCTAGTTGAATCCAAATGAATTAACTCTAAAAATTTATTAAATCTATTTTAGATATTAGCCTTTTTTTTCAAACATAAAATAAATGACAATTCCCTATCGTCTAATTTCAATTTTAAATTTTTTTTATTATATTATATTTACATTTTATTACAACCTACAATATACGATGTATGACCATTCTTCATTAAATTTCAATTTTTTAACCTTAATTAATAGAACATATTTACAAATTTTAAAATTCTAAAATATATGATAATAACCCGTCAAAATTTAATAAAATATGTAAATATATTCATGTAAATTTAACATGAAGATTAAAATCAAACATAAAACATCATCACAAATTCACACAAAAGGTACAACTACTTGCTTCCAAAGCATTGCAGCACTTAGCATTATTAACATATGTAGTAATACATGCATACCATAATGGCTTATTTAATACATCACATATATTTTTAGTGACAACGAAAAACTTGCTCTAATTTCTTATCAATAAATCTTGAATGTAATTAAAGAGATTCGATAAAGTTGTTAGACGCCGGTATAAACAATAAAATTAGATGGCAGTAAAAACAATAACCTAATCTATACACAATACCCATCTATATAAATGAAATTTTGAATTAAAAAAAAAATCTAAAAATTTTCCCATGCTTGTTGAATACCACCCAGGGCTTTTTCTTCGTCTATTGTGGCAGCAACATTCAGTTTCCGTCAGTTTGTTGTACTTCATGTGCGAAGAAATGTGTTGCAAGCCTTTTCCATCTTTAGTGTACATCTTCAGTGTAGTTGGAAGTTGAAATAAAATTGAATACAAGAGAATCAAGTATCTAACTTGACAAGATTAAATGTTTTCTAAAATAAATATATGAAAACCTTGTCGAATATTGAGAGTTTAAAGTGATTAAAATCAATTTTTTCCCAGACATTATCTATTCTATTTGAGAGCAACTAAATCAATTCTAAAAAGCAAAACCCTATTTGAGAGCAACCAAAGAAATTCTGAAAAGCAAAACCAATTATATTCAAGGGTTATGGTAATTGCTTCACACTATAACTAAAAAATGTCACTTACACAAATTCACAAACATGTTGCGTGCAAACATCTATTATAGCACATATAGATATAACAGCTGAGCATAGAAAACAAATCCCTAATTTGGTTTTGCTTTTGAGCATGAGTTTTTCGAAAATCTGAAAATAAATTCAATTAGCTATACTCAATCTAGGGCCATAACTTGTGACAAAGAATGTAATTTTTGAAATTTACTGGTTAAACATATGAGCAATTAGCTATAATAGATATATTTATAATAAGTGTTTCATTTGTATTTTTTTTTTATATCTTAAAATAAATGTTTTTAAAAAATATTAATATAATATTTATTTTTTTCATTATTATATTTCTATTTATTAATTTTCATATTTTTCAACTATTCTATTAACTATAATAATTAATAGTATTTTAATAAATAATATTATATTTATTATTAAAATCAACTTATCTAATCATTTTCTTAAGAATTAAATTGGTTTGGTTCAGTTAATCGATTTACAATATTTATTTTTTCAAACATTATATTTATTAGTGTATTTTTCACTATCGTGTTTTTTGTCGTATTTTATGCTATTATTTTTTAAAATAATATATTTCATGTTATTTATTTCATGCTCTATTTTTTCAAACAAATTACAAATTGCTCTTAATCCGAAACAAGAATATAATTTTCATCGCATCATAAAATAAATTCAGTATCAAATATAAAAGTTAACATTTGACATGAGAATATTGAAAAGAAATTTCAAAACTTAACAAACAGAATACAACAAAACACGCAGCAATTAACATGTTTCACACCTCAAGCACACATCAAAATTATTTTGTAATAAGTCTAAAAGGAATTTTGTTGAAGAAGAAACAAAAAAAGTTTAAAAAATAAGAAAATTAACGAAGAAAACTTGAACACGAAGACGACCATTACATATCAGAATGACGATAGTGAGAGAAACAATGGTGATAGACAACAAGAGTAGCAGTTCAACTAAAGCATATTTTTTGTGACTAATGATTTCTACTTTCTATCTTTTGAAATTTGGTTTAGATTCGTACTTTTCTATAAAAAAAAGAAAGAAGTGTAAACAATGATGAAAAATAGTTGAATTGATAAAAAATTTGAGTTTAATAATAGGTAGAATAAATCATTTAAAATATCATTATTTTTATTGATTCGATTTATCGATTTAACGATTTCTAAAAATTAAAATTGAGAACTAAACTAAACTACATTTATTTTTATTAGTTGGTTCGATTTAAGAACCAAATCAAAAAAATAAATTTTAATTTGATTTAATTAAATTTTTTTATCTACTTACACCCTCCATCTAAAATTGTTTGTCAAAAGAATTTTGTCAAATGATACCCTTATTTGGGACATAGGAATTCGGAAATACTAGTATTGAATACTACTGCTATCAAGAACAATTTTCAATGTGTATTTATTAGAAGACTTTTAAGTATTTTATTTTTTGACTTTTAAATATTTAAGTTATCCATGGATGGCCGAACATAAAATAATATTAAAAGAAAAATTAAAAAAAAAAACCTTTTTCACCCACTCGGTCAATGGATGGCCGAGCCTACAAAATAAAAAATATATATATATATTTGTTCGTTTAATGAATGGCCGAGTGTCAGATAAAAACTTGACATTCTGATAAAAAAATTTCAAACTATGACAAATTAGATATTATTTTCAGAAACTTGACATCTTAGTAAAAAAAATCGCAAATTTATCCCATTGAGTTGTCTCATATATGGTGTAGTATTAGTTTAGGAATACCAATTTACTACTTCAATATGATGATTATAAATATAGGTAAGGCTAACATGTGCCTTTAGGATATATTTTAAAAATCACAGTAGATAAGAAAATTATTTTGAAAATTGTGTATTAAATTTATTATAAATATATAATTATTATTTTATTATTTTTTTCAAGAAATTTTTTTTAATTATAGATTTCTTAATATGTGCCTTAAGCAGTGGCGGAGCCAGAAAAATTATGAAGTCTGGACAAGTTTTCATTGGCTTCATAATTTTCTACCAAGACAGTACAATGCTAATCCCAAAGGAATTATTTCCTTGAATTGCAATTACCTCTTCAATTTGTAAGATTTCGGATTTTATAATATATACATGTTAAAATTTCGGATTCTATAATATATACATGTTACAGTATTTCAGGTGTGCTCACAAAATGAACAAACCTATAAAAGCCGAGAAAAGAGAATTTCATTAAACTAAATCACAAATCAATTGCAAATGTACCAAAGTCAAACTTTACCCTCAATAAATAATTATTACTAAATTACATAGTATTCATCCTACTTGAACGACTAATGCACAAGACAAGCTCAGCAGATATATCATCTGTCAGTTAAGTTAATATTTTTTGGGACAATACATGAGAGAATCTAATCTTTTCCATCACTTTCTACTTCCCCCACCCCCCCCCCCCCCCCCCCCCCCCCCCATTCGGATGTATTACCGGAGACGGCAAACACAGTCTTTTGGCTGTTTTGAAATGCAGCAATTATATTTTCTGCAGGTATTACCTGAGTGAGAAATTGTATACAAAGAAAGTTAACATTTTACAACATTATTACGCTTCTTCACCAATCATTGTTAGAGTTTCGAACGACTTTCAAGCATCGGTTAATCGTAAACTATATGAGACACTTCTTCACCCTAAAAACCACGCTAAAAGATTCTCACAGCAAGTTGAAACATACCTGCCAATCTAGTAAGTTAACTACAATGTTCTCTGAGTGTTCATCCTCGGGTCTAAGTCCCTCTAATTCCTCTGGCGTCGAAACGTCAAAAACAGTGGCTACCCTTTTATTCTGTGCATCTAAAATCTCTCCCTCACCAAGAAAAGAGGACGGATTACTGCAATGGCTGTACTCCATCATGCCAAAATAAGGGTTATGATAATTCAAGGGGAATAATGTTAGAGAGTAGAAATACATACATGACCAATCATTGGCGAGTTGAGGAAGGTTTGATGGGAAAATGAAAGTGTCCCATCCTCTCTCAACAGCTGCGGTCATAACCTGCTTGTTCTTTGTCCATATCCACACTTTCTTTGATTTTTTACCATCCTTGTCAATCCCCCCTTAAATGTCTCATTTTCCTGTTGTACAACGTTGGTGTTCCATCA